CCAAGGGCTCAAGTGGAAAGCAAATGTTTTGAGAATGATGAGGGCAACAACAAAAAAATGTGCTGGAAAACTTGGTTTATACACGAGTATATACGGTAGTTACAAATCCGATTTAAAAACACTTGTGGATGGATCGTGTTCATAATCTAATCTGGGAACTGCCTGTAACTACATAGACTCTCTATTTGGTATGACAGAGAACAGCGTTTCTCTATATGCTGAGAAAAATCTGCTCTGTATTGGTGAGTGGCAACAAGAAATGCAACATCATAACTTTTGGATTATGAAGTCGAATCTATGCGCCCCATTATTAGAAGCAGAAACCCATCTGAGCATCATCAGGCTTCAGCTGAAACACAGTCTGCTGGCAGAATGTGTCATGTCCATAGCATAAACAACAAAAAGACCTTTTCTTAGAAAACAATACAATTTATTACTATTTTAAAACAAGTCTCACAAAATAACATTCAGAAAATCAACATTTCTAAATAATTTAACACAATAAGTTTAGTCATAAAGTCATGCTACAAAATTCCTGTGTATAAAAGATTACCAAAGTATTCATAGATGTTAAAATGTTCTTCAGATTAGAGTTGGTTTTAAAAGCCAAAGATTCTGGAATGACGCTGGGATCCTGCTGGCTGCCGCCCTGGGGAAGCAGCTGACTTCTTGCATGTACGGCTGACCACCCCCAGGCCCCAATATGGACCTAGCACTCTAAGCAACAGCACTTCAGAGGCAGGCACCCCACTGACCAGAGAAGCTTCCTACCCTCAGAACACTAGGCATCCTTGAGCCACCATCCAAATATTCATAATCCAGGTGCAGGAAAGATAGCTCAGAAGTTTCTATTCTGAGTAGACAAGAAGGTGGCACCAAGCAGGGAATTCCTGACGGACAGCCGCCTCGCAACTGGGCTGTGAACCACCTGGGGGAGATTTCTCTCTAACCTGCATGGGCCGACTAGGTACTTGCCCTCTGCCCTTTGGGAGGACGTACTTTCTAGCAATATCCAGTTCATCATTTTAAAGTGCAAATCTACTGAAAAATCTTTTACTCACCCTCACCCCCTTGTTACATATGCAAGATCATAATTTGATTGGCTGCTTCCTCTCCAACCTGTCCAATATGGGACACTACCTCGAATCCAGTTATGACTTTTCCAAGTGTCAAGGGAAAGCTCTGCCTCAATGTATCTTGGGTAGAAAGAGGTGAGGCTAAGTCTATTTCTTCCTCTCGGCTATCTTCTTGGTAGTCACTGATTGATTACAAGGCAAAGAAGAGATAGAGTTCTAAGAATTCAGTGATTTTAAACATAACATTTTTTCTCTATTGCACCTATTTTACATTTTTACCACAAAACAAAAACAATGAGACACATGCTAGAGTGAAGATGCAGGAATATGGTCACAATAGCTGTGTCAGATGCATCAACACTTGCTACACTGCATCTCTCTTAGACCTATCTCGGTTTATTTACAGACGCATTAAGCAGCCCAAATAAAGAAAAGGTATGCTCAAGGAATAACTGTCTGGCAAAAGATGAGTTGTGGTTATCAGTTTTCTACTTTTACCAATACCTACAATGTATAAAGGTCAGTAAATGGACCATCTGTCTGCAGTCAAAGACACGAAACTCCTCTGCTTCTCAGCAGGGAGTTGATTCTGCTACAGTCTTTATAGGTAAATGATTACATCCACCCTTTTTGTGCCCTACCCTTGGCCATACAGTCTACGAAGAACCCAGTTGCAAGGTTCTGGGCTACAGAGATGGCTACCTTCAACGCTCCTAATAGCAGGAGAACAGATTGGCCGTCAAGATCCATTTCTCCTTGTTTTGCTTAAGCCCACTGATGAAAGGTATCAGAATAGACACCTATTCAAGTCAAAATGTCTCTTCCCACATAGAAACCAAATTTAAGTGTTTCCATTTGAGGAGGTGATTTAGTAACCATGCCCAGTTATTGACCAGCTACCACCATGACCAGACATTCTTCTGATCACACCCAAATCGATAATGACAACAGTTAATTTTTATACATGATTGCCAAATTTTACACGGTGCATTTATGTATTTAATAACTGCTACTGTCTGTGGAATTCTGCTCCACAGTGAATGACAGAACGATGAGCCAAAGCACATTCAAAATGTACAGCTGCAGGGACAAGGCAAAATCCATGATAGAGTTGGATTCTGTTGATGTTGAGAGAGAGGTAGGTTAATGACCACTGTCCTAAGATAAACAATAATGCTAGGAAATAATAAGCTGAGATAAGCAGGGGGCGGGAATAAAAAGTTGACTTCTATAGCCCTGAATTTCTAATGGCTCCTGTGAGAAGGAGCAATACAAAAGAGGAAATCCTTGTGGCCCTTTCCTTCTAGCCATCAAGAGTAAATGCATCACCTCTGGCATGCTCTATAATCAGGTGGCCTCCGGCTACAGCGTGAAAACGGATGCCCTGGTGAAAGCAATGTTGCTCTGACGTCTACAGCACTACTTCTCCACTTGCATGGCTTTGCCCAACCTGGCCCCACTCCTCAGGGGCATATGGAAGTGTCTGGAGACATTTTTGGTTGTCACAGTTGGGAAGTGGATATTACTGACAGCTTGTAGGTAGAGACCAGGGATACTACTAAAATGTACTAACAATACATAGAATAGCCACCCACAGCAAAGCTCAAAATGTCAGCAGAACCAAGGTTGAGAAACTCTGGTTTAAAGATACAAACACGGATTAACAAAGAACACTAATACCTCTTGAGACCTGGTCAAGTAGATTGGCCATAGACTTAAAGGTCGGGAACGCCGAAAATCTGATTTCCTTAGTACAGGAAAATCAAACTTCCTGTGATAATTTAAATTATTCCAAAACTTACAAGAAGATACTTAACCGATCCACTCAGATAGCCTAGTGCTTTAAACCAGGAGCACTGGGAGGACCTATTCTCAGCGAGTCAAATGTCTAATTAGAGCAGCACAAATGAAAGCACTGAATATCAGCTAACATCACAGCAGTCAAAGGCAAATTGAGAGAACATCCTGAACTTTCTTCTATTCCCTAATAGCATCCTGAACTTTCTTCTATTCCCTAATAGCATCCTGAACTTTCTTCTGTTTCTTAATAGGGTTCTGGCATTAAAACTATGGAAGGATGCACAAAAGTCCTCAAATATTTGTTGAGTACAATGAAAATGATTTGTGTGTGTGTGTGAAATGGACACAGAAAAGCACCTTAGATTTCTGAGAACTACAAGTGATTAAAAGATACTAAGAAACAGGACAGGAAAATTAGTTCCTATACTACGGAATCCAGAAAAAAACAAACACCAAAACCTTTAGCCACGTTACAAGTAAATTCAATATGAAGTAATCCATTCCCTATCATATTCATTTCCAAGATAACTTTTAGACAATACACCCACACATAGCAATACGGCTTTAAGAGTGCCTACTGGATGAAGTGCAAACTGTAAGTACAGATCGTCTTCCCTCTCAGCCCGTGAATTTTAAATGTCAAGAGGAACAACAAAAGGGCTCCTTACCCTGCAGTTCACAAAGAACGCGCAAGAGCTCTGAAAGTTGTAAGCCAGTCAGAAAGTAAAGATTTACTGTCTAGCGGATTGGAAGGAAACTAAAAAAACGTGTTGGATTAAATTCTTCCTCTTGTTTACATTGAGAGCTGATTGTCAAAGCAGTGGTCCCTTTTGATCCGGATGACCCTTAGCGAAATCAAGTGATTCCTATTTCAAACGATAGCAGACAACTTCTGAAACCCAAGACTACGGACACAAATGCTGTTTAAAACAACTCTCCCCCTTAACTATGCAGACGGGGAGTCGGAATCAATGGTCTCTAGCTGAGGGGCCTGAGGCACAATTTGGCAGAGGGGCCCTGGCTTCTTTTTCAACCTGGCATCTATTAGTGGTTCAGGGCTGGCCTGCTATGGACTTCAACCGGGCACAGATTACAAATGCCTTTCAGTTTCCAGAGAGAGAGGAATACCATAAAACGTTGACCTTGCCTGCTCAATTCTAAACTCTGCCTTCATTACTTGGCAATTTTTAGGTTGAAATCCTACAAAGCTTCACATAGGCAAGCCTCAAAAAGACAGCCATTTGCCTCGAACCCCATAATGATGCATCTCACCATCTCTCTTCTCCTTGTAACTACTTACATGACACACTTAAAGAGCTGCTTTATGAAGAACTTCTCAAAAAATATATTTTTAAATACTTAGTATCATTTTTAAAAACTCTTTCTTGCACATTCTATACCCTTATAGCCAGAACCATCACATTCCCCAACAAAGAAGGTCACCAGAGTCACTAAGGCAAATTTGACATCTATATCTGCCAGTGTCTAGGGTACGGATTCAAATCCAGATATTCCTTAAACCAAAGGAATTATAAACCAAAACGTGCCAGGGCCAGGTTCACATGAGTAACATGACCACATTATTGGTGAAGGAATGATCCTAACAGTGTTTTCACCACTGACCCAGATCATAAAATGACTGTGTACACTGACTTGAATTGTCCACATATGTAGATTCCAGTTGATAATACAAAAACTTTATGAAACACAAAAAGTAAATACAACATGGGCTATACGGTCTTCATGATATTCAATTTCCCTTGTTTTCACCAAACTTAATCAAATTAGAGCTTGGATCCCTGGGTCCAGGGCTGCGCTGTTATTCTAAGAGGAGCTCTTCCTGTCACCTTTGCCGCCTTCGGAACCAACGGCCTGATACGTCTGTGCTTCCCATTCACCACGTGAGCGTTCGATGCTCCAGAAAGACGGTCCACAGAGACACAGCGAAGTGTGTCCTTTAAACACCTGCTTTAAAAACTGAATGCAGAACCATGCCTGTTCCTCTGTTGTTCTAATAACTGCTTTATGATGGATTGGTCTGCAAAAGGTTTCAATAGATGGGACCACAGTATATAACGGGGACTGAAGACAGAGATGGAAAATGTGTACTTTCTGAGAAGAAGGCTGGAATCTATAAAGTAGGTGCTATCATTTTAAAGGTGACACACTGTTTGAACAGGTTACAAGAAAGAAAAAGGAAGGAATGACAATTTGTCTTTTCTTAAGAACCTTTTGACCCACACACAATCTTTAAAGTAGACAATGATATAAAACTTATCTATTGTTCTCATCACATTGAAATAAATTAATACGAAGCAGAAAGTTTGATGTTAGTTTTCTTCTTCCTCGTCTTCTTTAATTACTGGGGTACCTAAAAGAAAAAAATATATTTCTGGTCATTTTCAAGAGATGGTTAAAATTCTAAGTGAAAAGATTTTCCTTTCATGCCAGGAACACCAATATGCTGTGAAGGGTGCCATAATAACAGGAATTCCATAAACTCTTCCATTTCAGTCCTACAAACTGCCTTGCAGGAAAATGCTCAAATGGGTTTACTTAAGTACGTATTACTATTCCTCTCCCCATATGAAGGACTGCACATAAAAAGGCCTTAAATGTCAGGTAGAAAACAAAAGTCAGTCCTGTACACATTAAAAACCTTGCTTGCCTTAAAATTGAATGTGGTGACGAATGCACACCTCTTTTTTAAAAAGATTAATCTATTGAATTGTATGATGTGTGAATCACATGTCAATAAGTCTGTGCTGTTGTTGTCCACAAAAAAACCCAAACCAAAAACCCTGCTTGCATGTTAAACATGATTAAGTATTCTTCATTTTTCACCTTAAAATGTATAATTTTTATGTGAAATCCTCCAACTATTCAACAGTGAGGATCTTTTTTTTTTTTTTTTACAGAACTGCAGAGAAAACAAAATGCATCCATAGATCCTACCTGGGCCAAGGCCCACCCATTTCTGACTTCCAGCACTTTTAAGCCTACCCACAATTTGATCCCAGCCAACCATCTTGTCTAACCATTTGGCCATTTACCCTCTACTCTTGCTGAATTATCAACTCATTATCTTCCCAACTCACTGTGCACACTCTTTCCTCTGGACTCTTGATGAACAGAGTTCCTCCATTTTGGAATGTCCTCCCAAATTGTTTTCCCATCTAAATCCTAGCCTCACGCAAGGAGTAAGTCCTCTGCGATACCTTCCCAGATGTCAATGTATGCTCTTTATGGCAGTCAGCATAGCTTGGCCTCGATCCCCCACAGCACCTGTGTCCTTCAACTTCGATGGAGAGCGACAGAAGAAGCAAGAGAATGAATGGAAGGCAAGGGTGGTGAGGGGAGAGAGGGTTGAGGGTCAAGAAAGTCTTAACCACAGAGGACCAAGTCCTGTGTTTTCAATGTGAAAATGGAATATGGGTATGACCTTAAACTGTAAATTAGGAATATGGATAAGGTTTTAAACTGTTGAGGGAAAGCAAACAGTCCCAGTCTCCCTTGGGTGTTATAGAAAGCCCCCCATAGCTAAGGTGAGGGAATGGAAACAACGCTGGCAGTGTTCCCAACGTGAGTGACCCTGCCCTCTGGGGGGCGCTGGACCGATCCAAATGAAAAAGTCAGACTCCCTGCTATGCATTTTAACTCCTAGCGATCCTATAGGACAAAAGAGAACTGCCCTTGTGGGTTTCCAAGACTATAATTAAAAAAAAAATAAATCATTTTATTGGGGGATGTTACAGCTCTTATAACAGTCCACACATCAATTGTATCAGGCACATTTGTACATATGTTGCCATCATCATTTTCAAAACATTTTCTTTCTACTTGAGCCCTTGGTATCAGCTCCTTTTTTATGCCTCCCTCTCCCACCCTTGTGAACCCTTAATAAATTATAAATTATTATTTTCATATCTTATACCATTTGCTGTCTCCCTTCACCCACGCTTCTGTTGTCCATCCCCCTGGGAGGGGGAGTTAAATGTCGATCACTAGGATCAGTTCCCCCTTTCTTCCCCTTCTCCCACCATCCCCCTACCCTCGTGGTATCACTACTCCCACTACTGTTCCTGAGGGGTCTATCTGTCCTGGATTCTGTATGTTGAGAGCTCTTATCTGTACCAGTGTACATGCTCCAGTCTGGCTGGGTTTGTAAAGTAGAACTGGGGTCATGATCTCTGCAGGTCTATCTAGATAAGACAGGGGGGATAAACAATCTGGAGGAGAAAACAGTGGGACCTATGGTTCCAGGGAGACATGAAAGAGGAGGTGGGGGAAAGGAAGTGGTGTTAACAAACCCAGGGACAAGGGAACAACAAGTGATCCAAAATTGGTGGTGAGGAGGGTATAAGAAGCCCGATAGGGCTTGATCAAGGGCAATGTAACCAAGAGGAATTACTGAAACCCAAATGAAGGCTGAACATTATAGTGGGGCAAGGGGAAAGTAAAAGGAAATAGAGGAAAGAACTAGGAGGAAAAGGACATTTATAGAGGTCTAAATATAGGCATGTACATATGTAAATATATTTATATATGATGATGGGGAAATAGATCTATGTGCATATATTTATGGGTTTAGTATTAAGGCAGTAGATGTGTGGGAAACAAGACAGATTTCTTCCAAGTTGTCTCCCCTAAATATATTCCAAACTTAGCTGCTTGCTACACATGCTGAATGACTATACACTTGGAAGTCAACAGAAGTAGGTCAGGGGTTATTCTCCCTAAGGGTTATCAGCCATCCAGAGCAATCAGTCACCACTGTTTATCCCACAACAAGTAGGATCCACTCCCTTCTGATAAGGATAGTAGTAGATTGTTTCCCTGAAGGAGAGCCGAGGGAGGTCAAGCCCACTCAAGGGTGACCAAGGTTAGGTCGCCATCATGAATCTGGAGTCGCCCTTCCTATCACATGTATACCTCTAGTCCTTCCCCTTCCTATCATGTGTACACCCCTAGCTCATCCCTTTCCCGTTACGCCTATGCCCATTGTATATGCCCCTCCTATTGCTTGTATTGCCTATTGTGCAGCCCCTTCCTCTGACGTGTGTGGTTACCTGTAATCATATCCCCTAAGTAGATATAAGCCTTTGTTAGCAATAAATCTCTCTCCTGGCCTCTCTGCCAGGGCTGGGTGCAGACCTGGCTGTTGAGATCATGGCCACCCAGGAGGTGAGTATGCTACTATGAAATGTGTATGACTCCATTATTTCCATCTCTCTTCTATCTCTCCTTATTCTCTATGACTTTATTATAATCTTTATATATCTCAACCATACAATTGCGCTTACTGAACCCTCGATTAGTTGTGGGGGGCTGACTTCCCCCACACAGATGGACATGGGCCTCCACTCAAGTACACCCTCAATGCAAGAACACTTTGTTCTATTAAACTGGCATTCCATGATGCTCACCTTCCCGACACGATCACTGAAGACAAATGTGTGCATAAGCAAATGTGAAGAAAGCTGATGGTGACCAGCTATCAAACGATATAGCACCGGAGGCCTTAAAGGCTTGAAGATAAACAAGGCTCATCTGGCTGAGAAGCAACAAAGCCCACATGGAAGAAGCACACCAGCCTGTGTGATCATGAGGTATTGATTGGATCAGATATCAGGCATCAAAGAACAAAAAAATCATATCATTATGAATGAGGGGGAGTGCGGAGTGGGGACCCAAAGCCCATCTGTAGGCAACTGGACATCTCCTTACAGAAGGGTCGTGGGGAGGAGAGGAGCCAGTCAGGGTACAGTGTAGCAATGATTTACACATACAACTTTCCTGTAGTTCTTAAATGCTTCCTCCCACTGCTCCGCACCTCCCCCCGCCCCCATATCATCATCCCAATTCTACCATACAAATCCAGCTAGACCTAAACCTGGACCATGAAATTTAATATGGGCAGAAATGGCCATGGAGAGATTCGAGACAACCTATCTGTTCTGTAAGCTTTGTTTCCTTTTGTTATTTCATGCCACAAATCTGATTCTTACTCATGTGACATGCTGGGCTCAAGCTGCTGCTCAGAGTCACTCACCATCGAGCTTTTTCAGTCGGGGCACTCTCTTGGTTGCCTCATCGATCCAGTTCCCTTCCGCAGAGTGTTTCTCTTCCAAGGGATTGCCCACAAACACCAGGTCCTCCAGGCATGGCAGTTCTGCCAGTTTCACAAATTCAGCTACAAGCACAAAGAATCAACTCAGTCTGAAAATGGCAGGTTTTACTGTTAAAATCTTGGGGGTTGAACTCCAATATTGCTAATTCTCAATTTGTAGTTATGCAGGACAATTCAATTTTAAAATTTTGAGACTACAGAGTTTTGAAGGAAGTTATGCAAGTCATACCAGATGAAGTTAATCCCTGAAGACATTATGAAAAGAGAGGGAAAAGAAGACCTATCTCTTCTACTGCTATGCTAACTGTGATATGTTTTGTGTCAACTTGGTTGGGCCAGGATTCTTAGAGGTTTGGTAGTTCCTGCTGTGACTTAACACAATAATCAGTTCCATAATGGGATCTGCTATGAAAAGCCAATGAGCTGTGAGAAGATTAGGGTAGAATGCAACTCTCTTACTCAGGTCACAGCCCTGATACAATTGACATTTCTTCAAAGTGTGGCCTACTTCCTATATAAGGGTATGCTGTGGAAAAGCTTACTTGTTTTCTGCTGGGTCTGGATCCCACATCTGGTTCACTGACTTGCACTTTTTTGGATGTGAGTCAATGGCCTGCTATATTGCCTGCCAATCACAGGACCTACCAGCAACCTGCCATCTGATGTACTTACCTTGGATTCGTTCGTCTTTCTACTCACAAACCTGATATACTGACCTTGGATTCATCAGCCTCTGCAGACACCAGCCTGTGGGGTCTCAGATTGGGCTTGTTTGCTTGTACAACCACACGAACCATTTTCTTTATATAAAATTCTCTCTTTCTCTATCTATACACACACACATATACACACACATACAAATATACATATGTACACATACATATCCACATACAAATATATATATACACACACATCCACATATATGTGTATGTCACTGGTTTTATTTCTCTAGAGAACCCAGCCTAACACACTAACCACAAGAATGGAATGACAGGAAACAAGGTTCAGAATAAAAGAGAGCAACAAATGGATCTCCCATGAAAGAATTTCTGTGCTGTATCAGCGTAGACTAAAGTAAATTGTCTTTGTCTTTATCTATTCTTTCATTTGAATTCTTTTGAGAATATACACAGCAAAACATAGACCAATTCACCAGGTTCTACACACGATTTATGGGCATTGATTACATTCGTTGAGTTGTGTGACCATTTCACCTTCCTTTTCTGAATTCTTCCTCCCTGATTAACACAAATTCATGCTCCCCGCCCCATGCCCCATGATTCCTAGGTAAGATTTGTAATTGCTGTTGTCAATTTGATCTCACAAAAATAGTTCTTAAGATAGCATAATGGTTCCAGTAGACCCCTTTTACAAGTTAAGGTAAGCTACTGTTTGCTTTGAGGATGATTTCAGGAGATATTTGGGGTTTAAGGTTTCAAGGTTATCTCAGAGCAATAGTTTCAGGGTTCACACTGGCCATCAGACCTCCTTCTGTAACCCTTAGGCACTAGAACGTTAACTGGGAAGTAGAAAAGAAGCATTGAATACGTCATTAGGCCAATTAACTGGAATGTACTCGTCATGACCATAAATTGCCAAACAAAGGAACTGAATTCTACAAGAGGGTACCCCCCCCTTTAAATTTTTTTACAAAACAACCTTATCACCTTCAAAGTACTCTCCATTACACTTAATACATTTGTCAAGTCTGCGATTCCATTCTTGGAAACATTTTTCAAACTCATCTGTCTGGATGGCTGACAGCACCTCTCTCATTTGTTTCTTCATCTCTCCTACATCATCAAATCGCTATCCTTTCATGTCCCACTTCATTCATGGAAACAAAAAAGTCACATGGAGAAAGGTCAGGTGAGTAAGGTGCTGGGGCAAGAGAGGCATGCTGTAATTTTTGCCCAAAACTGGCCCACTGAGATAGCTGTGTGAGCCGGGGCATTGTGGTGCCCACCAGTCTGCCACAAATCAGGCCTTTTTTTGGTCATCAGGTTTTATGTAATATATTTATAACCTCTAAACAGAAAGCTTGTTTAACAGTCTGACCTGGTGGAATGAACTCCAAATGTACTACAAGTTGACATTTTTGTCCTTTCGGGAAATTGACAGATGTCCAGAATGAGGGATTCCATAGACACTGCGCCTTTTTTGAACTGAGAAAACCACTGTGCCCTTTGGTTTTTTCCCCCGTTGTTTTCTTTTTAGGTTTTTTGCACCTTCCCACCGTTTTTTGGGGCTTTTTTTTTTCCCAAGCAGAAAATAAAATTCCACAGCCACGCACTGTTCTCTTAAATCAGCCATCACACACACACAAAAGTTCAAGTGAAACTGCTTTTATGAAAAAATTCACTGTGACCAGAGAAAACCTTCCCCAGTGACACCATTGGCTGCAGTAACTCATAGCGAGATGCGAGATGCTCACCTAGTTGGGAAATGTGTACTACGAAAGTTACATCCAGCAGAGCTTACTTCTGTTTTTTGGGGGGTACCCCTGCGTATGTGGTGTTCAGTTGCAAATAAGCAGCCTCAGCAGTTTGGGGTTTTTTTTATTGTATATACATCCATCACATAATTTTTGCTAATTCAACTTTTTACAGCTATACAACTTATTGCCAGAAATGACAATAGTCTGCTGTGCGGATTGCTGTTTTCCCACCACTGCTAACTCCGATTTCTCTCTCCTGGCTGCCCCCGGTAAGCACTAATAAACTCTGGGCTTCTCTTTTTATATAAGTGATGTCACAATAGTTGTCTTTTTATGACTGGATTATTTCACGCAACATAATATCTTCCAGCTCCATCTATACTATAGCATGTATCAAGACTTCAATTCTCTAACTGGTACTCATATATATCCAGGTGATAGCAGAGAAAGTTAAAGATTTGTACACCATTGTTTGCTGAAGCTTTATTCCCAATAGCCAAAAGATAGGGGAAAACCTCAAAGCCCAGGGACAGATGAATGGTTAAACAAAATGTGGGTCCCGCACACAAGGATTACTACTTACCCAAACACTAAACCAAACTCACTGCCATCGAGGCTACACTGACTCACAGTGACCCTATGGGACAGGGTAGAGCTGCACCTGTGAGTTTCCAAGATGATAACTGTTTATGGGAGTAGAAAGCCCTGACTTTCTCCTGGGAAGCTGCTGGTGGTTTCGAACTGCCGGCCTTGCAGATCACAGCCCAATACATAACCACTCATTGTACACTACTCATTCAAACCTCTATAGCAGAATTTACCACATACTTTCACAATTACTGGATTCTAAATTATTCTTCCTCCTAAGTTGTGTATTCCTTGAAAAGTAATTATAGTTCATGGTACATAATGAGGCTTTGGTAAATACTGAATGCATAATGTACAATAAAATAAGCAAAGTGAGGGAGGGCTGCCTTAGCATTATGGTCTTCTGAGATATATATGGGATCAAACTGATAACAAGATAATGCAAGAGATTGGATAGGAACCTTAGGAGACAGCCAGCTTATGTTAACGAGGGAGGAAGAACTAAGAAAAAGAGAGCCAGGACGATTGTTCAAACCAAAGAACGCAATCAGTGGTACTAAACTGTACGATGGGAACTGGTTTATATTTCGTTGTGTATATTTTCAGCAATAATTTTTAAAATACAGAAATAATGGGAAAAAAGCAAAGCGATATCAAATAAACTTTTAAATTTAGTAATAAGAATTATTAAATTGATTCATTTCAACCTTTAGATAATAATTTTATAATTTTTATGATATTTGATAAGACAAGGCCTATGTAATTATATTCATTCTAAGTAAAAATTTAAATATCAAGCATTTAGCAGAAATATAGAAACTCATATAGCTATTTCTCTCTGTAACTACAAAAAAATGTTCCTAACTTGCATTGTGTGCCTTACTAGGCTATGTTCTACAAGCAGGTCGAAGGCCAGTCTTCACTTACCCCAGTCTTTCACTAGGTTATTAGACATGTAGAGAATCTTCAATTTCTTCATTACATGGATTCCTTTCAACTTCTCAATAAAATTGTAGGAGATCCACAGTTCTTCTAATGTGTCTCCTACTACTTCCTACAAAAGAAAGCAATCTGATTTATACATGCTAATTGTTATGCTTTTGTTACGCGTCCATCCTCCTGGCCTTCCCAGGGACTTGAGGCCTAAGGAACTGAGGGTTGTGTGGCGTTCTTTCTCATTAAAGAAGTCAAGTAGACTCCCTTTCTTGTGCCCTTTTAAGGTTGCTGCAGTACTTTAAGAGGCTAACACAGAAGGGTATAGCAAGTCTCCATAAAACCCAGAGACAAGGTCGGTAGAACTCCTCTTTGGATCCTGTCTGGAGTCACAACTGAAAAAAAAAAAAAGAAAAAGAAAAAAAAGGGTCTGATTATCAAAAAAAAAAGAAGTCAAGTAGAACTTTCTCTGCCTCTCTTCTGATTGATTGGAATGTTTTCTTCTCTCTGAGTGTTTCATTAAGTTAAAACTCACAAAGCATAATACTTCAAAACTGGCTACAACCCACTGGGAGGTTTGGTAAGTTGTTTAAAATGGTGAATGCAGAAAAGATCTGATACATAAACATTTACCTAATTCACAATTTAAAAATAAAGAATGGCAACTAAAATCATCAAGAAGGAAAATATTAGAACTATTTTACAATTGTTATTAAATACTATAATCTTCAAATGACTTCCCTATATATTCTAATATCTGATCCGTATAGCATTTAAGGTAAGCAAAGTATTCTTATTCCTATTAAAGAGAGATGAAGATTTTTGTCTTTTAATCAAACTAAATAGTAGAATGAGGCCTAAAATTTGTTTTTTCTCCCAGCATTTTTCAAGCATTAAAAAAGGTCAAAGAATATTCTAATAAAAAAAATTTTTTTTAAAGAATGTTATAATAATCATCTGTTTATCCACTCCCCAGATTCTACCATTAACTTTTTGCTGGTTGATACAGTAATATGTTAATATAGTAATGTCATTAGTAAATTAATACTTGTCCCATCACCTATCCACCCCACCCAACTAACCATCTATCAATTCATTTAGTTGTTTTAATATATTAAATTCAGTTTAAACTCTGGAATAGTATAAAGATCATATCATATTGCTTCTTAAATGTTATCCATTTGTGGTGGAACAAAAAATGTTCCTTCTTTTATAAGCAGACAGAAAGAAAAAGTAGGAATAATTGATGTTCAATCAAAATCCCTTCTAATTTCAAAAGAATTCACCCATGTCTACATGATAACGTCTAGAATGGGGAGCCCAGGTCTATGCCTGGTAACTGCTCTTCAAAGAGAATAAGTGTAGTCTGGATAAATACCCGGAATGCATCATGCATCTTCTATACTGGTAGAAACAAGGGGTGGGGTTGAGAATACATGGCCTGGGTTAGCTGTGTTTCAGTATAGCCCATGTAATCCACCTTTGTTTCAACTTTCCAAGTTAATAAATATTAATAATAACAGTTCCAAAAGAAAAGAAAAGAAACTTTGAATCTATTTACCCTAGCATTCTTACACCAAAACTTCATGATTTAAACTCCAAGACCTCTCAGATATATTTTTCCTTCAAATAATCTAATTACTTTATCATATACCGTGTAGACTCGTGTATAAGCCAAGTTTTCCAACACATTTTTATGCATTTTTTGTGGTAAAATTAGGTGCCTCGGCTTATATTCGGGTTGGCTTATATTCGAGTACACAGGTATATCTTTCAGAGGAGGGAACTAATTCTTAAAATAATGTAAGTCTTATTGCATACAGTTTGATTTCCTGTACTCTCATCCTTCTCAATTTAGACAGCATGGAGTAGAAAATTACTGAGCAGAGAATCACAAAACTTAGGTTCCATTCTGGATTCACCAAGTTAGTGTCATTTTATATGCATGGGGACAATGCTTCATCAGTCTTCAGCTGGCCAATTCTCCAAATTGTCAAAGGGATGAACCCACTCTGACTGATTTACAGCAACTTGCTTATTGACTTAGCTGTAGCAGTTCATTTTAGATGGGATAAGAGAAATAGGGTAGGACAGAACAGGAATTCCTTTCGATAGGATACTTAAAAAAAAAAACCCAAAACTTCAATTTTTGGATCAGTTTTAGGTTTACAGAAAAATTCTGTAGAAAGTCACGTCCCCATTCACCAGCTTCTTCCCACCTCCAACATTGTTTCTCTGATTTAACATCTCGCATTCCTGTAGCACACTGATTATACTTGCATTACTATTAACTAAAGTCCATAGTTTACACCATGGTCCCCAAACTTATTTGGCTTACCCTCGCTTCTCAGAATGAAAAAAAAAAATTACTCAGAACCCTCCTGACAATTAAAAACTTTTATACAACAGCCTATCATCCGGTTAACAGTTAGCTATCTGTTTTTGCAGCTGCTCTTGGGTCATTCCAGGGCCTCCCACTTTGGGAAACACTGGTTTACATGGAATTCTTGAGTGATGCAAACAGTTAAGTACTTGGCTACTAAATGAGAGGTTGGGAGTTCATAATCCATCCGGTGTCTCCTGGAGAGAAAGGTTTGGTAATTTACTTACTAAAGATCAGTCACTGAAAACCCCACGGAGTGAGTGCAGTTCTACTCTGAAACACATGGGGTCGCCAAAACATCATAATAGACGTAGTCAATTGGTTGGTGTTTGCTTGTTTTTTAAATAGTTTGCTCTGTTCATTCTGAACCGCCCTTTGGGTTTGATACAGGCTTAAAAGGAAACAGAGGAAGGGCCTAGGAAGCAAAGCAATGGATAGAGGTATAAGCATAGGCGTGTATAGATGTAAATGCAATAATCCACAAAAAGAGAGGTATTGGCCTATGTACATGTATTTATACAACAATACACTGAGGTAGTGGACGGACTTCGGGCCTCTGCTCATATCCCCCCTCAATACAAGAACACTTTGTTCTAACAAACAGACATTCTGAGATGGTCACCCTCCCAACACAATCACTGAAGACAAACAAAACAGATGCATAAGCAAATGTGGCAAAGAAAGTTGATGGGGCCTGGCTATCAAAAGACATAGCATCTGGGGTCTTGAAAGCTTGAAGTTAAACAAGCGGCCATTTAGCAGAGAAGCAACAAGCCTATATGGAAGAAGCACACCGCCAGTGAGATCATGAGGAGTCATCGGGACTGGGTAATAGGCATCAGAAGACACGTAACAAACAAACAAAAACACATTGTTGAGAACGAGGGGAAGTGGAGGAGAGACCCACAGCCCATCTGTAGACAATGGAACAATCTCCCTACAGAGGGGCCACAGGGAAGGGATGAGTCAACCAGGATGCAGTAAAGCATCCATGAACACACACACTATTCCTATGATTCCTTGAGGGTTCCCCACCCCCGACTATCATGACCCCAGTGCTGTTTCTCAATTCAGAGTAGACTGGGGCATGTACACAGGTATAGATAAGAGATGGAGGCTTAGGACACACAGAATCCAGGAACAGGAGTGGGAATAGAGATACCAGAAGGGGAGGGGGAAAGGGAGCAGAGAAAAGGAGAAAGGGGGAACCAATCGCAATGATTGACACCCCTCTCCAGGGGGAAGAAAAGAAAACATGGGGGAAGGGAGACAGCGGTCGGTGTGAAGTAAGAAAATAATAATAATTTATAATCTATCAAGGGGTTATGAGGGTAGGGTGGGGAGGGAGGGGAAAAAAAGAGGAGCTGATACCAAGGACTCATTAGAAAGTAAATGTCTAACTTTGGGGCCAGGGCTTGGCACCCCATCAGACTGGACCAGAAAACACTCCTAAAGGAACAACAAACAGTCCTCAAACTAACTACGAGCTTTTCTTTTTTGTTGTTGTGTTGGTTTTTTTTATTTTGTTTTGTCACTGGCCTTTTGTTGTTGTTGTTTTCTTTTGTTACTTAGTTTTGCTCTGTCTTGTTTTTGTGCATGTTATTATCTCCGCAGGT